GGGCATCACTGCCATAGAACTGGCCACAGGCACGGCCCCGTACCACAAGTACCCACCCATGAAGGTGTTGATGTTGACGCTGCAGAACGATCCTCCAGTCTTGGAGTCCGGGACTGATGACAAGGTGTGCACCATGTGTTTCAGTCTTGTTTTCAACTTATTGTACAGTATTCCGTGAAATTTCAAAACTTGATAAATTTGATGCGGTATGTACTGTACGTTAAATGGAAGTTACATCAAAATTAAAGAAAATATATGCCACTTTACAGCTAGAACATCTTGAACAAATGTTTATATCCCAGGAATGAGCTGATTTTTGGTGCAGTTGCACTCGGACAACTAAAAAAAGCGTGATGAAGTCGTCTTTCCAGATATTAAAATACAATACTGTATGTACCTTAATTTATGCCCAGCAGCATGCATATATACTCGGCTTTGCTACTTATCATTGAGGCTAACAATAGCACGAAAATTTTCCATGACTCATGTCTGCGTTTTACGATTTGGTATTTTTTTCATGCAAAATGCTTATATTTTATTTTTCAACTGTTCAAGGTTGGGGAGAAAATTTGATTTCTGCAGTGAAAACTGCAGCAACATTGGCTAACATCTTGACTTGATTGAAAACAAATTGGGATACACTTTTATTTGCAGCTACTTTTTTCCTCCTGCAAAGCAACTATGGTTGAGATGTGGTCCTCCGCGGATATTTTTCGGGTGCCAGTCAGCATAACATACGTTTAATTTTCATTGAATTTATGGAGGTAGAATCCACTTATTGGCTTTATCTTTGCACTTTCCAGAGGACTCAAATGAGTGCTGCCTGTCTTTCATTGATTGAAATAATTGAAAATACAGGAAATCGGTATAGCGACCCTTTTGTAATCCTCAACAATATGTTACAATTATTGCAATTGGAAAATTCTTTATTTGATAATTTAGCAGAGCACTATGCGTCAATGCATAGGATATGATGACCCATAATTTTGACTTCAATTAAATACTAAAAAAAATCGGCCAATATATTAAATGATCAATATCTTCAGGGAAACGTCAGTGCTCTTGTACAGTTTTGTATATACGGTACGGTTCTTAAGAATTCAAGTTATTTGTATGCATCCAATTCAACACGTCAGCTTGTTGCACATAATTTGCTGTTTTTGTTCAGGTAATTTTATGACATACATCAGCAGCTCGTCCCAAAGTTTGTCAGTACTTTTTGTTATATTGGATTACTGTATCGAGAATTGGCTAAAAAATGATTCATTTCGTTTT